TCTCTTGAATTAATCCCAGTTGGAATTCTTTGAGCTTCATGAATTTGTATGTCCATTTCCTTCTTCAAATTTGGGGAGTTTCAGCCGTTACTTCTTCAAATAAGCTCTCTGCGCCCTTTGCTCCTCATCTAAGACTCCCATAATGCATTGTGAAATAATAAGAAATATATATGTTGGTCTCCACCCCTGATTTTAGGAGAGCTCCTAAAACCCTTGTAAATAGGGGTGGCTAGGAGTGTCCTTTGTTCTAAGAATTGACTTCTGACCCCAGTTCCTGACACATATCTCCTAAAACCCTTGTAATTTCCTGAATGATAGGAGCATCTGACACAGAGCTCCTAAATCCCTTGGAACTTTGTAGGTAACAGGAGTACCTTTTGTTCTAATGAGGCAACTCTCAATGGACTCTGGGATAGGGGTTAGTTACCAGAAAGAGCAAACCATGATTAGAAGCTTGGTACTTTCAGCCCCACCCTCCATTCTCTGGAGTGGGAAGAGAGGTGGAAATTGAGTTAATAATCAATCATGCCTATATGATGAAACCTCCCTAAAAATTGCCAAAATATGGAGTTTGGGGAACATCAAGGTTAGTGAACAAACACATTTACATGACAGAAGGGTGGTATACCCCAGCTTCACAGGGACAGAAGCTCCTGCTCTCAGGACCCTTCCAGAATTCACCCTATGTATCTCTTTATCTGCCTGTTCATTGATATCCTTTAAAATATCCTTGCTAAGAAATTGGCAAAAGTAAGTAAAATGTTTTCCTGGGTTCTGTGAGCCACTTTATCAAGTTATTGAACTCCAAGAAGGGGTCGTGAGAACCTCCAATTTGTAGCCAAGTTAGACAGAAGTTGTTGGTAACCTGGGGATCCACTACTTGGGACTGGCATCTAAAACAGGGGACAGTCTCGCGGACTGATCCCTTAACCTATGGGGCCTGTGCTAACTCTGGCAGATATCAGAATTTAATCAAAATGTAAGACACCTGGCTGTCAGAGAACTGGTCAGTGTGGGAAAAATATCCACGTTTGGTTACAGAGGTATTGTGAGTGTGAAAGTAAAATACAGTGTGTTCTTCCTAGAACATGCATATACTGGTCTACTTGAGGTGTCCCATAGGGTCTCTTCATTCTTTTTTCTTTTTGCTCCTCTGACTTGATAATTTCAAATAACCTGTCTTCAACTTTGCTGATTCTTCCTTCTGCTTGATCCAGTCTGTGGTCTATTTCTAGTGAATTTTTTCAATTCAGTTATTGTATTCTTCAGCTTCAGAATTTGTTTGGTTCTTTTTTATAGTTTCTCTTTGCTGATATTCTCATTTTGTTCATACACCATTTTCCTGACTAGTTGTCTGTGTTCTCTTTTAGCTCTCTGATCATCTTTGTGATGGTTATTTTGAATTCTTTGTTGGGTAACTCACTTATCTCCATTTCTTTAGGGACAATTTCTGGAGGTTCATTTTGCTCCTTTGGTTAGGCCATGTTTTCCTGTTTATTTGTATGTCTTCTTATTTTCTGTTGAAATTTGGGCATTTGAAAAAACAGCTAACTCTTTTAGTCTTTATGGACTGGCTTTGTACAGGGAAAGATCTTTACCAATCAGCCCAGCTAGAGATTTTGGGGTCCTCTCAAACCTTTTCTGTCAATGTGTCCTCTCTGGGCTTATGTGCGTAATTTCCCAGCTAAAGACGTTTGCCGAATTCTACTCAGGAGCTCCCCCTGGTGTCTGTATGTAGTACTGCAGTCTGTGGTGCTTTATCAACTCAAGGTATTGGTGCTTCCCCTGGTGTCTGTCTGTGTTACTATAATCTCCCTGGTGCTGTGGCAAGCCACAGGGCTTGACTTTGATCTCAGCAGGCCCCCAGGCACCCAAGTATGTTGCTGCCTTTCTTTTAAGTGTCCAAGAGTCAGCTGAGACAAAAATCAGTCCCTTGGGCAGTACCCCCAAAAGTCAGGACATTGGTTGCATATTTCACCCTTCTTTTCCACCTGTAGGAGAAGCCATAAGTTGGGAATTTCCCTTGATCGTACCATGCTGTGCTGTGCCAGGAGTGGGATGAGGTACAGTGGGTAAGTGCAATGGGTTTTCCTACCCACTCTAATGAACCTTTTCTTAGCCTTGGACTTGCCTGGGGTGCTGTAATTTCTAAGCTGGTTTCTAAAGTTCTCACAAGGGCAATCTGTTCTGTATATTGTTAAGTTGGTGTCTCCATGAGGGGTAGAGTGCCTGGAGCTTCCTATTCTATCATCTTGTCACTCTGCTGTACATTTTTTTAAAAGTTTCTTTGTGGATAGAAACAGACTATAAATAAACACAATACAGAAAATATAACAACTGATAGGTAAAAACTTTCCATCTTTAGAGAAACTAATCTACCTTTCTTAAAAAAGAACTTTAAAAGACTCTTAAACCCTTGGCACCAAGCCCTGATAGTTTACAGTTCCCTAAATAGCAACACATTCTTTTTTTTTTTAATTTAACTTTGTTTTTCTTATATAGCAGGTTCTTATTAGTTATCTATTTTATACATATTAGTGTATATACGTCAAGCCCAATCTCCCAATTCATCCCACCACCATCACCCCCCTCCCCGCTTTCCCCCCTTGTTCTCCATACGTTTGTTCTCTATGTTTGTGTCACCATCTCTGCCTTGCAAACTGGTTCATCTGTACCATTTTTCTAGATTCCACATATGTGCATTAATATACGATATCTGTTTTTCTCTTTCTGACTTACTTCACTCTGTATGACAATCTCTAGGTCCATCCACACCTCTACAAATGACCCAATTTTGTTCCTTTTTATGGCTGAGTAATATTCCATTGCATACATGTACCACATCTTCTTTATCCATTTGTCTGTGGATGGGCATTTAGGTTGCTTCCGTCACCTGGCTACTGTAAATAGTGCTGCAATGAACACTGGGGTGCATGTGTCTTTTTGAATTATGGTTTTCTCTGGGTATATGCCCAGCAGTGGGATTGCTGGGTCATATGGTAATTCTATTTTTAGATTTTTTAAGGAACCTCCATACTGTTCTCCATAGTGGCTGTATCAATTTACATTCCCACCAACAGTGCAAGAGGGTTCCCTTTTCTCCACACCCTCTCCAGCATTTGTTGTTTATAGATTTTCTGATGATGCACATTCTAACCAGTGTGAGGTAATACCTCATTGTAGTCTTGATTTGCATTTCTCTAATAATTAGTGGTGTTGAGCACCTTTTCTTGTGCCTCGTAGCCATGTGTATGTCTTCTTTGGAGAAATGTCTATTTAGGTCTTCTGCCCATTTTTGGATTGGGTTGTTTGTTTTTTTAATATTGAGCTGCATGAGCTGTTTATATATTCTGGAGATTAATCCTCTGTCTGTTGATTTGTTTGCAAATATTTACTCCCATTCTGAGGTTGTCTTTTTGTCTTCTTTATAGTTTCCTTTGCTGTGCAAAAGCTTTTAAGTTTCATTAGGTCCCATTTGTTTATTTTTGTTTTTATTTTCATTACTCTAGGAGGTAGGTCAAAAAAGATCTTGCTGTGATTTACGTCAAAGAGTGTTCTTCCTATGTTTTCCCCTAAGAGCTTTATAGTGTCCGGTCTTACATTTAGGTCTTTAATCCATTTGGAGTTTATTATTGTGTATGGTGTTAGGGAGTGCTGTAATTTCATTTTTAGCAACACATTCTGAAATGACTTGATTTCCTACAGTATTGCCAAACAATGTATTAAATATATTATAGATATACCTCACGTGGCCAGAAATAATTATAACTACAGTGCTTATAAAGACTAGTTCTAAATGCATTTTACATAAATGAACTTGGAATAGGAAAAGAACATCTATGACAAGTATAACATAAATATGGAAAAAATCTTTTTTAAAAAATAGTCTCCACAGAATTTAGTATAAACTACCGATACGGTCTAATAGTTTGTTATGTTGTTGGTTATTGCTAACATGTAGCAGATTGACTTTTCATAGATGATCTATAACCAATTTTTTTTTTTTTTTTTTTTGCAGTACACGGGCCTCTCACTGTTGTGGCCTCTCCCGTTGCGCAGCACAGGCTCCGGACGCGCAGGCTCAGCGGCCATGGCTCACGGGCCTAGCTACTCGGCGGCATGTGGGATCTTCCCGGACTGGGGCATGAACCCACGTCCCCTGTGTCGGCAGGCAGACTCTCAACCACTGCACTACCAGGGAAGCCCTCTTTTTTTTTTTAAATTCTTTTTTCTTGTGATGAGAACTTTTTTTTTTTAACATTAATTAATTAATTTATTTTTGGCTGTGTTGGGTCTTCGGTTCTGTGCGAGGGCTTTCTCTAGTTGCGGCAAGTGGGGGCCACTCTTCATCGCGGTGCACGGGCCTCTCACTAATACGGCCTCTCTTGTTGCGGAGCACAGGCTCCAGGCACGCAGGCTCAGTAGTTGCGGCTCGCGGGCCTAGTTGCTCTGCAACATGTGGGATCTTCCCAGACCAGGGCTCGAACCCGTGTCCCCCACACTGGCAGGCAGATTCTCAACCACTGCACCACCAGGGAAGCCCTAACCAATTACTTTTGTTAATTAAAATTAAGGTAAAATGCTGAATTTGACTTAACATAAAATTAAAAAGAAACATACCATCATATACCATTTTCTCTGAAAAATATTTAAGAGTCAATCATCACATTGAAAGAATTATGATCTGGAATATCACAACATACCTTGCATCCAAAAATTTATGCAAAATAGATACAATATTAGACTGAAAGTAAAAATTGATTTCTTATGCTAGAATTCACCAAATCTGATAATAGGCCATCACTCTTCTTTACATACATTAAAAATGTCACATAAACATAAGAAAGGGAAGAATGAACTTCTGAGTACCTAAGAGAATACCTATAGGTACTCGAAAAAAAAAGTTTGCTTAACTGAAGTGAAAAAGCTAAATACATCATCTTCTCAGAAGAGACTTCATGCGATTACACACACACACACATATAAAAATTAGCACTTACCAAAAGACTGTAAAATTGCTTAATCAGAACAGATACTACTCTCAGCAAACGCATGCAGATAGGAAAATATGGTTTTTCAACTGGTGCTGGAGAAGATGAAGTGCTGGAACCTTGTCTGAACTTTATATTTGGAGAAAAGAGCTTTATCACAAGAGGACATACCCTTTCTTTGAGGAGGAAACTAAATTCCTGATGCTATTTGCAAAGATTAAAAAAAAAAAGAAAAAAAAGAAGAATTAACTTAGTTTGTACTTAATGCTTATAAAACAGTCTCACAGTTAATAATAATCTTTAATAATCAGTATGAATAATTTAGCTTTATTATAAGTTTATACAGTTTACTATTTTACCATTTTACACACAATTCTGAAATTAGTATTGTTCTTTGAGAATATAAGATCAAACAATATTTCAAGAAGTTTTAAAAAGAATCTAAGTTCAACATTTAATAATTTTGGAATTAAAACGATGTTTATTACTAGGAATTTTAATTTTAGTAGGACACTAGCAATTAAAAACATAAAGAACAAAAGAAAGAAAATACATTACACAAATTCAAACAGATAAAGCATTTAAATAGGCAGCTGACAAAAAAATCTGATTAATAAAGTATAATAAGTTATATAATTCAGATTTTATTTTGCAAAGATAATTCTATTCATGCATAGAAGATTTACTAATTAATATTTTGTTCTACTTAGATTGCTTGAACAGAACACAAAAAGCTGATAAAAACACAATGACAAACAAGCATAATTATTTTAAAGTCTGGGAATCTTGCAAAGAATTCTTAAATTTTACTTAGAATTATGGCATATTATGCAGAAAAGCTCCCTTAACCTATTAATGCCTTGACTATATTAGCCAAAAGTAGTCCCATTATACTGACAATACAAAGTCCAGTCTATATTTAATGTCTAATCTCAAATATATATTATTCTGTTGTTTTAAGCATCTCAATTTCATTGAAGCCGCAAAGAAACAATAATAAAAATCTACCAATCTAATCCTTTAATCTTACCAAAAAAAGGAAAAATAAGGCATAGAGCAGTTTATTTGTTCAGAATCACAAAATTTGTAAAATGTATTTTTTAAAAAAAATCAGGTTCATTCAAGGAAAAAAATCAGTTTCACTAGAGAAAAAAAAAGAAAGAAAACACAGATAAGTAAAAAATAAAAGCTTTGCTTCATCTCACCTCCCAGAGATAAGTTAGTGAGTCATCATTGTTGACTCCAAATATATATCCTTCTAGTCTTTTATATCCATTTTTTTAAACATCTTTATTGGAGTATAATTGCTTTTATATCCATTTTAATGTACTTTTAATTCTTCCCCCCAAAAAATGGGATCTTAAGAGTTAAGTGATTTGAAATTCTACTCTCAAATCTACAGTAGTTTCACTGACAAAATGAAAAGCATAGTTAATCCGTTTTCATACTTTATTAAATAACCTTAGGTATTGGTTAATTCATAAATATTACAGACAACTCTGAAAAGTTTTATCTATTCACTTTTCCCCCTCACTATTCAACTAGCTGCAACTGGGTTTCCTCCACAACCCCCATCAACCACTCCATCTCCACTGAAACTATTCTCATTATACTCATGATCTCTGTGGACAAACACTGCCCTTTCAGTCTTACCAAATTTCTTTGAAGCACCTGACATAACTGATTACTTGGTTCATCTTGAAGCTTTCTCTGCTTTTGTCTTTTATTATGCCACAGTCTCTCAGATACATTCCTACATTTCTGGCCCCCATGTTCTTAGTCTCTTTTGTATGCTCATCCTTTCATGCCCAACCATTTAACAATGAGGTTCCTCAGAGCTCCAGAATATCAGGTCCTCACTTCCATATGTTATCGCCATAGGTGATCTCATTCACTCCCATACCTTCAATTAGCAACTATATGCCAGTGAAGTTTAAATTTATAACTTTAGCCCAAAACCTTACTTCTGAGCTCGAGATGTATAAATTAAACTACCATTTTGTGTACACTCAGGTATCTCAAAATGAGTAAGTTCAAAACTGAATAAACTATCCTTTCTAGCAAAAGTTCTGCCCATAGAGTATTCCACCTTAGTAGCAAGCAACACACTGCTCAAGCCAGAAAGCCAAAAGTCATCTTTGATTAGTAAGTATAATTAGTCCTATAACTCACTGATTTTATTTTGAAGAAGGTAAAAGACTGCTTTTTTTATTCACATTTCAATGATTTATTCAGCATTTACTTGCTGACTGTTTAATATGTACCAAGCACTGTGCTAGGTAAAGGAATTCAAGGTTAAGTTCGATTTTGTCCCTGCCCTTATAAAGCTTATTTTCTAAAAGAGAAGACAGATCCTTTCTTAGAGCCACTGCTCTGGAATATTCTTTTCCTATACTACCTATTTCCCCCAACTAACTACTCTTTATCTTTCAGGTGAAAGCTTCATAGCCTTCATTCATCACCAACTCTCCACCAGGTTTGGTACCTATGTTACTCATTTCCATAGCACTTTTTATACTTTTCCCTCACAGCACTCATCATGGCTTATCATTCAGTTAATGTTTTTCTTCCAATTAGATTGGTAAGTGCCGTAAGGGCAGGAATTTTATCTGTCTTATTTAAATTCTGTATCCTTGACACTGAACACATGGACTAGCATATTGTAAGGGATTGGTAAATTTTGATTGGATGAGTGAATAATGAGTGAATGAAAGCAAATATTTCTCTCTTGAAGAAAACTTTGTAGGTGTAAATTTTAGGATCTTACAAAGAATAATTCTTTTTTCTCCTCTGCATTATAGCAGGAAGAATAAAGTACAATAGATTATGGGTACAATAAATCTGGAAACATTTTTTCAAATCTTTTCCTACAAAATTAAAAAACATAATCCAAACTATAGACATTTCAAATTCAAATTCATTGTCTATGGCCATACCACCCTGAATGCACCCGATCTCGTCAAATTCAAATTCATTTACAAATTCATTCACTCATTCATTTAAATATTTATTGAACACCTGTCATATGCCAGGCACCACTACAGGCACCTATACAACAGTGAACTAAGTCCCTGCCTCATAGAGCTTACTTTCCTGTAGGGGAAGTGAGATCAACTAATGTACAAATACATATGTCAGGAGGAAATAAGTGATACAAAGAAAAATAACAAGGAGTAAGAAAGACAAGGGTGCTGCCATGAAAAACAGCCGCCATTTTACACAGTGGTGAGGAAAGTTTATCTGGTAGGTTGACCATTGAGTAAAGACCTCAAAAGAGTAAGAGAACAAGCCATATGGGAGAAAAGCATTCCGGGTTCAGGAAGCAGGAAGTACAAAGGCCTAGGAGCAGGAGTCCACCTGGGTCATTTAGGAACAACAAGAATGACAGTATGGCTAGAGGGTGAGGGCACTTACAAACTATGAAACCTTAGACAAATTATTTAACCCTCTTAAAGTCTTAGCTTCCTCCTGTGTAAAGTAGGAATAACTGGTACTTCTCAGGCATTTGTGCAGCTTAAAGAGAGTATGATATATAAGGAATTTAGCAAAGTCACAGCACGGAGTAGGCAGTCCAAAGTGGTAGCTGTTACAGCTATCAGTTTATACAAGATGATTAGTCGAGTTGTATCTACACTTATCCTATACTAATACAAGAAAGGGAATCATCAGTTAATATTGTTATCATTGAAAGCACTGAACAGTTGTCTAACACAGACCAAAAATTATGAACCATGTAGTAAAAGTTTCAGTCCCAACTCTTGGGCTAAAGGACCTTCTTTCTACTTTTTTCTCACTTGATTCACACATTTTTAGGTAAAAGCAAGGATAAAATAGATGATTTAGGGAGGGGCAGCATGGTAGGGAAAGGAGCTAGAGTAGTAGTTAAAAGTTCTAAGTTTTTGTTCAAGATCTGCTAATAACTAAAGAACCCCATGTAAATCACTGAATCACTTTTGGACTTTAGCTTCTTACAAGTAAAATGAAAAGTTTGAATTCTTTCTCACTTTTTCCCCTATTAACCTTCTGTTTTGAAATAGTCTGTATAGCACATTAAATTTATTAAGCATTGACGACTTCTTTTTTCCATTTAAATTATGTTAAAGCACAAAGCTGCATACAAACAAGTAAAAAAATTAGTGACAATTTTTTAAGGCTTTTAAATATTATAAAAATAGCTCACGTACCACATTCCTCTGTACACCCTTAGATTGGGAAATGCTTGACTAGACACTCTAGGAATTCCTTCTAATGTTAAAATTTCAAACTGCTTGGGCACAACAAAAATTAAGATATCAGCAAATTATTATATGTCTAAAGTCTAAGGTTATAATTTTTTGCATTTTTTAATGTGGGGGAAAAATACATGTTACTCTCTTGAAAAGTATCTGTGAAAAAATTAAAGATTAATTTTGTTGCAAGATACTACAAATGGCTTACTTGTAAAAAGACTTGTGGAAAATCATTCAAGACTGACTCAAGTAATTCGAGGCCAAATGTTCGGGTCATTTCTGTCATGCCTACTAGCCAGTAAGGGGCATCAGCATTAACCAACTGACAAAGGTCCTGGGAAAATAAATCAAACAATGAATAAAAAATAAATAAAATATTTCACATGCTGGAATGAAATGTCCTTTCATTTTACAGTTCACAAAAATTTTTTTAAAGTATCTCTTCTTAAATAATAGGTTTTACTCCTTAGAAACTAAGTACTGGTAATTCAAATTTTGATTAATTGTATAGTTGATTATGTAAGTAAACTAAATATATAGAGTGCACAGATAAGTGGTTATTCTAACATGGTTTTAATGAAAAACCACTTAACCCTTTAAACAAAATTAATAAAATTTTCAGTGCAGGTTAATCTTATTTTATTCACGACAAGTAATGTAAAAATCAGGTATTTGCATATCAAATTACATTAGGTAGAACAGAAATTTAGTACTTTAATTTTCCTATTAAAGGAAGTATTTTATATGACTAGTCATCCCTAATATATCTAGTCCAGGGTTTAATTCATTTTATTTCCTTAAAGTGAAACATAACATTTCATCATGTTAATTAGCTATAGATGCTCTTTAACGTTTTAGAATTTTTTTTAAATACAGGTATCATGGGCTTTTCAAAAGTTCGCTTTACCACTTAGCTTTTACAGAAGACCTACGTTAGCACCTGTTTTCTCTAACCAGAAGAAATCTGAAGAGGATTTTCACTTTTACAGAAAAAAAAAAAGAAAAAAAAAGGCAAAAGTGAAAATCGTGTCAGCACTTGCTTTGCAGCGAGCCCATAGTAGAGGTAGCACACACCCCAGGCAGCAAGAGTGGTACTGCCAAGCTCTTTCCCCGGGAACTACACTCAGCATCTCAGCATCAAGCTGCCATAGCTTTGAACTGTGTCTGTGAGCATCTGTGCTTTATCTCGATCTATTTTGTGCATTCATTAGGTAATTGTGTACTAAGGTAATTGCTTTTTCACTTTAGGCCATTTTGCCTTATGAAAGGTTTCACAGAAATGTGCTACTGTCAGATAGTGGGGGTAACCTGTACCTCTTTGACACTATAAAACTGGACAATTAAAAAAAATGACGCTTAAAAAACTGAATCAGATACAAAATTCCAAAATCAAAAATTCATACAAAACTATATTGTATAATAAAAATTATTCGTATAATAAAAATTATTCTTATCAACTGAAATACCTGGAAAAGCATATATGCATCTTTAGCACAAGGTTTGAGGGTACTGACAGATCTTCTGTTACTATTTCCTTGGACTAGTACTGGTTGTTCTACAACATCTGCAATCAAAATTAGAGGGGTTTTAGGAGTTCATAATGACCGTTAATAAATCATATATACTGTCCAAAAGGTATGCTTAAAATAAATACTTATTTATAGAATTATAAACTTTAATAATAACTTCAGAACCATGCCTCCATAATGGAAAGAAAAATTGGGAATCCCATTTTTACACAAAATGCCATAAAAATCACTCTTCACTATCTTACATTCATTTTAATAAACTTAGTATCTTTACACGTACATTTGATTTTCTCAGTACCCCTTTCTCCAGTCTCTTTATTTCATGGATTTAAAATCCACATGATCTTTGAATGTACCATTAAATATCAAACATATAAATATTTATCACATGGTTAATTTCTCTATCATCTCTCCATCTTCAAAAGAATTAACTGCTTGATCTGCCACAAGTACTATGTCAGTCACAGGTATTGACTAGCTAAGAGTCAACTAGAATGGGGCGTCCCAATTTCTTTGAATACTAAGAAGATATCATTCCCTGTAAGCTATGACAGCCTGTTTTGAATAAATGTTGACTCAATGACTACTTGAAAAGAAAGAGGTTCTAAGTATTTTCTACCTTATTAGAAAGTATTAAATGAGATATTAGTCTTTAGAGACACACAGGCAAAACTACCAATCCAGAACTTATATTGAGATTATGAATATACAAGACATTCAAACTGGAGAACTGCCCTGTTTTATCCCTTAAGTTTAATTCCTTAATATTCCAAACTGCTAGAATTCCACCTGCATTTCCCCTAGGAAAAGTGAGACAAAAGTCAGTGGGAATATTCTAATAAACCAACAGACTAAATGTCTGAAACTGAATGTGAAAAATCTGACCAATGGTTAATTTCAGGAAAAGTGAAGCAATTATTAGAGTAGGCACCATTATCATTACTTACTAGTATTGCCGTTTTTTACCAGTATTACCAAAAAAACACCAAATGATATGAAAGATTGCTAATATCAAGAGTTTAAGGGGAGGGCTTCCCTGGTGGCGCAGTGGTTGAGAGTCCGCCTGCCGATGCAGGGGACACGGGTTCGTGCCCCGGTCCGGGAAGATCCCACATGCCGCGGAGCGGCTGGGCCCGTGGGCCATGGCCGCTGAGCCTGCGCGTCCGGAGCCTGTGCTCCGCGACGGGAGAGGTCACAACAGTGAGAGGCCCGCGTACCGGGAAAAAAAAAAAAAAAAAAAGAGTTTAAGGGGAAAGAAAAAACTATGTAAAGGGAAAAAAAAGTTTAATCTTTTGTTTCTTGACTCCATAAAACAGAGAGGTTGCTCTTGGTAGCACCTTATGATCTTTTCAACTGATCATGGGAAAAAATTTACTTTTCATCCAATAAGGGTTAACAAATGAAAAAAAGGTTAAAAGTTATCAAATTATAAAAATTATAACAGAAGCATAGTATCTGTAAGCTCTGTGACAGGACATGTTTCTAAGTTTTTAGGAAATGTTGTAAATCACAAAGAAAAAGATGCTAAAAATTACAAATATTTGATGAAAATATGAAAATATTAAACTTTACATTATATAAATAATCTTGATTAATACATGTTAATAGGCAGAGACAAAGATTCACATGAGGGAAGCTCACTCTTGGGAATTTACCCTAAAGAAATAATTCATATGGAAATATATATGTAGGAAGACACTCAAAACAATACTAAACTATTGAACACAAGTAGTTCATTAAATTATAGAACAGCCACAAAATATAGTGCAACCATTAAAATTTCAATTACAAAAATAACATGAAAAATTCATATAATGTAATGTTTGGCTGAAAATACTTATAATGCAACATCTGGTGTGAAATGTGAAATTATCATCTTCGATATGAAATTATGAATATATTAGAAATAAACATGGAAAATAGAGTCCACTTCTTAGGGTGATAAAATTATGGGGGATTTATCTTTTGAATTGCCATTATCAATAATAATGAAGTTAAAATGAACAGGCTTTTTTTAATTTTTTGTGTGTGGTACGCGGGCCTCTCACCGTTGTGGCCTCTCCCATTGTGGAGCACAGGCTCCGGATGCGCAGGCTCAGTGGCCATGGCTCACAGGCCCAGCCACTCCGCGCCATGTGAGATCTTCCCGGACCAGGGCACGAACCCGTGTCCCCTGCCTTGGCAGGTGGACTCTCAACCACTGCGCCACCAGGGAAGCCCTAACAGGCTTCTTAAAGTATTCTAATTTTTAGGTAGCCTAAGTTCATAGGGGAATGGCTGACAATCAATAAAAGAGAAAAGCATGGATGTTAGAGCCACCCACTGTCAAAAGGAAACAACTTTTTTCACTTTACCTCTGTGTCGTTCATCTTCAGCAACCATCCTCTCAAAAACAACAGTAACAACTTGTCGCACTGTAGCAGCAGCTGTATTATTTGTAATATTATCTTTTGTGAAGTGTAGTCGAAAACAAAGAACAATTGCCTGAAAAAACAATTTCCATTTAGTGTGAAATAAGATTGAGGAACATGGTTATTATCTTTATTTTATCTGATGTAACCCAAAATTAAATAATTTGTTTTGCTGCTTCAATCACCTACACTAAAAGTCTCACTCTTTCATATAATAAAACTACAAAAAGCTCAGCATTTTGAAATAATTCAAACTCTCAGTAAATACACAGACACATAAGATTGACCAAGGTAATGTGAAATACTCCTTTCACAATCTCGTTCTTTTAACATGTATATAATAATGTGTTGTGCTTTTATTTTCCCAGAACTTTTTTTTTGCGAATAGCAAGTACTCAAACTTTGTTGTATCACTAAATCACCTGGAGAAATACTATATAAACTTGCTAAGCATAAAAATGAATAAAATAATTTTTAAAAAAGGAATCATTTTTTCTTTTAAAATCAACTTTATTAAGGTATAATTTATATACAATAAACTGTATCCCTTTAAAGTGTATGATTTTATGAGTTCTGACAGTTATATTCACCTATGGAACTACTGCCACAACCAAGTATAAGACATTTCCACCATCCTAAAAGTTTCCTTGTGCTCTTGCAGTCCATTTTTTCCTCCACCCTTGGCCCCAGGTAACCACCAATCTGCTTTTATCACTATAGATTAGCTGGTATTTTCTATACAAATAGAATCATTCAGTATGTGCTCTTTTCTGTTTGGTTTCTTTCACTTGTAATATTTGTGAAATTCATCTACGTTTTTCTTTGTATCAGTAATTTATACTTTTTTATTCCATGGTATGACTATACCACATTCTACTTATCCATTCATCTCCTGATAGACACTTGGGTTGTTTCAGTTTTTGGCTACTGTACAAAAAACTGCTGTGAACATTCACATACAAATCTCAATGAGGACATGTATTTTCATTTACCTGGGTAAGTAAACACCTAGGAGTGAAATGGACAGATCACATAGTAAGTATAAGTTAAAATTTTAAAGAAACTGTTAGTTTTCCAAAGTTGCTTTACAATTTTATATTCCTGCCAGCAGTATGTGTGAGTTCAAAATTATTCCATATTCTCAACAACATTTGATATGGTCAATCTTTTTAAATCTTAACTATTCTAATGGGTGTGTAATAATATCTCCTTGTGGTTTTAATTTGCTTTTCCCTGATAACTAAAGATTCTGAGGCACTTTCCATGTATTCATTAGTCAGTTGAATAGATTATTTCATAAAGTGTCTGTTGAAATCATTTGTCCATTTTTTATTGGGTTGTCTTATGAATGAGTTGTAAGAGTGTTTTCAATAAATTCTAGATAAAAGTGCTTTGTCAGATATTTGTGAATATTTCCCCCCATTCTGTGGCTTCTCTTATGATTCATGGGTTTGTGCCCTACCTAAGAAGTCGCTACCTACCCCAAGGTCACAAAAATTTTCTCCTATGTGTTCTTCTACAAGTTTTACAGTTTTAAAAGAAGCCATTCTTGGAGGAAAACATAATAATGGTATTTTTAAATACTATGCCTTATCATATTAATTATATTAAACATTTAAAAGAAAGCAAGCCTTTGATACCACTAACACTTTTAAAATTTCAACATAAAGGAAAAGTACATGTTATAGAGAAGCTTTCCTACTACCCAATTTTATATTATTTCTTTATACTTCATTTTTCATCCCCAAATATTACATTTCCAAATTAACCAAAATACCAAAATAAATCCTATATTTATTTATAAAACTATAATCAGTTCTTATTGCTTGGGTAGGTCAAATGATAACCTTTTATAAAATTTTAAATATATGTATCAGAACAATAATTTGATAGCTAGAAACCAAGAGGAACTATATACAACAAACATATATATAAAAATACATTAAATATTTTATAAAGCAGGTATGGGGTAAAAGAATAAGCTATTTGCAATTAAGTAAAATCTCATTATATCCTAAGAACATCAAATGAATAACTAGAAAAGAGATATAGTCTCTATACAGTATACTGTGATGGTATACTTCGCTACTTTACAAGTCAACCATTCTTAAAGGCATACAAATTATAATACAACTATTACTGAAACTCCAACAATTTCCCTAAATAGTAAATCATTAAGTAAAGACTGGTTTTTATATTACTTGCTGTACTTTCTGTTCTTTAGAAATATTTCTTAATTTTAAAAAACTTTTTAAAGAGTGAAACAAATAATAGAACAGCTGTTATATGTTCCTAAAGAGGGTGGGAATAAGAAAGGAATGAGAAATAGCTATCATAAATGCAGCCTTACCTAGTATCAATGTATCAATGCCAAAAGGACATTTTTCCAGATATTTAAGGGACAGATTTAAACTATCTGGCTTACATAACATATATATGTGAAATTATTTTTAAAAGGGGGAAAGGGAGAGCTATCAGGAATACCCAAGGTAATTGTGGAGAACACTGATACCTCAAAACACATTTTTTTTTCTTTTCCTCTTTCTCTATTCCTTTTCTTCTGCCACATCCTATTCATAACTAAGCCTGTCAGCTATATCCAAGGGGCTCTGCTTAATCACCCTAACCTAATTTCACTTCTAACCTGTGAAAAATAAAGCACCGATGGCTTTTAACATGCAATGTGCATTACTGCGATAGCTACAGGAAAGGTGCTGTTCAAACAGCACCAGGCTTTTCTCTTTCAGTCAGCTTATTCAAATACTGTCTCAAAGCACTTACGAACTTTGACAAACAGGCTTCCTACCTTTGAGAGTGCCTCGTCATGAACTACTGTATTGGTTGTTAAAAGAACAAGAACTGTTTGAAGCAGCTTAAGTTCTTCAAGACTATTTTCCATTAGCTGCCAAAGCATGTTAATTATATTTCCAGCTGCAGTCTGTAAAACAATGATTTTAATTATTGTCAACAAATAAAATATAGGTGTTTGGGTCCTTAAATAAGAAAAGTGATGCAGATTCATAGTGATGAAATGTTTTTCCTTATTTTACCATCATAAGGTCAGATACAAACAATAGCTTTAAGTTAACGAACAACAAATTATCAGTTCAGATAATCTAGCAAACAGTCATGATTTTCTCTCCTACCTTTTAAAAAATAATTTATGAATAATATTCTCCGTCAGTGATATTGAAAACTTGCTTGGTTCTTAAGATTTCATCTATATTAGTGAACTATGAATTCTTAGATTACAAATGACTTGACAAAATGTACTTCGTTCTTTATTCTGAGCGTTTAATAATGAGACAATTTGGTAACCTTTTAAAATTAAGCCAATGTCCTTCAAGCACTATTGTACATTAAAATATCAGGTATGTTTTATTCTCTCCTTATGAAAACTCATGATTTGATTTGTAAGTGCACAGTTCAGATAAAATCTTCACATTACCTCAGACACAACTTCATGGGACATGAGCCTCTGAATGGCGGCTAAACATAGCTGAGTGATCTTCGGTTCCTTGGTTCCACAACCCATTAGAAAAGGCTGAACAACCTCTGAGCTGTTCTCTTTCAATGCTTTATTTGGAACACATATAAAATAAAATTTTAAACATAATTCATAAATAAGAATATTTTTATATAATTACAACCAGTAATGACAATCTTAATAAAAATCACTTAATGTAAAATAAATACCAAAATAAAAATCAAGCAGTAAGAGTTAAAATACTTCACATAAATACTACAGACTCTGTATCTAATCTACTCCCCCTTAAGTTCAGCTCTCCCATGCCTTTCTCCTGACACTCCTTCGGTTCTCCTCCATCTTCTTCTATAAACTCTTTAACGGCAATTTCTCAGAAGTTCTATCCCACGTCAGAGAAAGACTCTATTTCTTCAATAGTGCAAAAGGGAAAACAGGAATAAGAATTCACATTCTAGAGCAGAAAAGTAATTAAAAATAGTATATACATGAACCCCACCACATTTCTGAATGAATATTCAGAAGATCCCTAGAATTTTATTATATGCTTTGAATTCATTGGCTCTAATTTCTTCTTCAAGAAGTAAACTCATTAAAAACCATAACATTACTCCTCTTATTACTGAAATATTGCTTTAAACTAATTGGATGCACATGCTGTAATTCCAAATCTTAAAATAACTCCTTCTACCAAGCCAATACTTTCAGAAGTTTTAAAATGTCAACAAAAATGTAAAAGATTAGAAAATGCACAAACTGAATTATACATAATTAAATTTACAAAATGAAATTAAATCAATACACACTTACTGAATGGCTACACAAAGATGAACAAGACAGGTTTGTCATCCTCAGGGAATTTGAATAAATAACATAAAATTCCAAGTCAAGAGAACTTTAAACTTATGTGTTTGGTATTTGTTTTCAAATGTACTACATCCATCAATTATTTTTTGACGTTAAGAATTGTAATAAAGACACAGAAATCTGAGTTTTAACATGTTTTTCAAAAGAAATTGTGAGAAAGTCATCCAGAATCACCTTTAAAAGTATAAAACTAGTGTTAACATTAATTTTATCACTTAAATCCCCTTCTTTCTTCTCCCAAAGCTCCCTTTATGGTATGGCAAATAAAGACTACTATTTACTACAGCATGCTCTGCAAAGTCCCTCAGTATGCCAGTATAAACCACTGATTTAGCACAGCTAAGAGAAGGCAAATATGACTGGCAAAGAACAGTGTTTTCAAAAAAGCTCCCCTGCCTTATTTCCTTGTTTTCTTGTTCATAAAGATTTTGAATCAAAACCAGAGACATAAAATTTCCATAACAATGTCACAAAACATTTTACATGAGTGATTAAAAGATGACAATAAAGCTCAAAAAATACTATTCTGAAGCAGTAAATATCCTGCTATATTCAATTCTGCCAGAATCAATGAAGTATGAGGCCATCCTTAACTCTGCAGAACATTCCAAATTATTAAATCTTGTTCAGGCAAATATAAGTTTTCAATACTAACAAGTGGCACTTATAATTTTTATTACATTAACTTGTGTTTCTCATTTGAGTATCACAATACTCATATAGAGTTTATAGGGTATGATTTGGACCAAGTAAAACAATAAGTAGGTGGTAAAACCAGAAACTGAAAATGTCTTCTAATCCCTGGTTCACTATTCTTCCCACAACATTATGCTGCCACTCTTTAAGGTAAACAGCATTTGATGCAAATGGAAATTAAAAGAGTCAAAAGTGTCTAATAGAAACCAATTGCCTGAAGTCTTCAGATGAATGAAGAAAAACAATGTACTTTCATAGAGGCTCTGATGACAATGATTTTTAAGACACACCCATATCGCCAGAAAGAAAATCAGTGCCAATTACCTTTGCCAATTAAACTATGATACGATGCATTCTAATCACTTATACTTTTTCCTCACAATTTCATACTCTAGGCCAAGAAGGCCATTGTTATTTCTTATCTTTTTGATAATAGCCATTCTAACAGGTATAAGGTGATATCCTTATTGTGGTTTTGATTTGCATATCCCTGATGATTAATGATGTTGAGCATCTTTTCATGTATCTGTTGGCCATCTGTATATCTTCTTTGGAAAAAATGTCTATTTAGATCTTCTGTCCAATTTTTAATTGGATTGTTTGTTTAGGATGCCTCATTGCTTGAGAGTACTTCACTACTGTCTCTGAGATATTCTTCTAAGCTAATGACACCCATTCTGCAGGCTTTGATGGTGGTGCTTTTTTTGACCTTACCATAAGATGTTAACAGAAAGTTTTTGCACAACAACTAGGGTGACATTTCAAATAGCAATGAAACTTACGTGATACCAACAATGCACCGTTAACTCAACTGATGTGACAGTATGAACAAGTTCACACATGCACTGAAAAAGACAACTACAACACTATCTGGCCCACAGTGATTCTAAGATGCCATTAATTGTAAAATGCATACCAATTTGGGGAATATTAACATGTGAAAAAACTGTGTATCTTAGAATGAATAAAATAAGGTGAGTTACACTGAAATATTGTATACATGTCAGTCACAGTTATCCGGATCTATCAAGCTGAGTTAAGGTAATAATAAAAGTAATTTTTAACTCTATTTTAATGTAAGTCAAAGGCACCCTTCCTACTTTTTTTTCTCCCAGTTTATATGAGAATATAATGGTCAAAGGAAATTTCTGTTATCCAGAATAGATGATCAAGAACAACCAAAAAATAAAACCTACTGATCTATTCTGTTTTTTGAAGCATAATGTGAAAAACGGAAACATATCTACCATATCTAGATCACAATGAAGTAATATAAAGGTCGTTTTTTAGAAGTTTCTAATTATTTTTCTCTTCTGTTAAATGTCATAATGGTCCTAAGAAGCAGAAATTAATTCTACCCTTCTAATTGAGCAATTGCTGCTTTCTCTTTATAAACAATAATTTTAATTACATGCACTTAAAGGTGGCTTTACATAAAAAGCTTCCTACGGGTTTAGAGTTTAGAAACCACATTGAGGAAAAGGCTGTGCAGCAATATAAAGACATCTTGCCTTAACCATTTTTTAAAAAATCATTCCATGGAAAAAAGAGGAAAAGGTCAACTCTTTTTAATCAAAACTTGGTGGGTGGGCGGTGGGGTGGGGAGAAAAAAAGTTTAATTTCTACCTAAGTCCCTTAAGAAGCACAACTCCTTTAACAGAATAACACTGTGTGTTTGATAAATATATTTTACTTCCAAATTTTATAACTGTGAGATCAAATGATGCACTTTCACACACCTGAAAGAGGTCCAGCAGGTCCCCATATCCTAGGGGTTTCCTTGCTCTGAGCAGTTTCACTGCAAAATTGCAGTTTTTATCCTGGAAAAAAAGAATTAAACTAGGATACCCCACTATGAATCACACTAATAGGGGTTAATAAAAGTTTTATTATAAATTTTAACAGTCATTAAATAACATATTATAATTCTTGTGAAAGAAATAAAATGTGATGCAGACATGATTGCTACCCTCAAAACCCTTAAAATCTAGTTATGGGAAAGACTGATATTTCTAACAGTAAAAAAATTTTAATGGTTCAAAATGTCTGAAAATATTTTAAATGATTCAATATGAGGACAAATAAAAGTATGAGCAGCTTCATCTTAAAAGTACATTACAGGAAAAGGAAGAATGATGTTGGTACAATCGGTTAGTAATTTTGCAAAAGAAAAAAAAATCTAGGTCCTCAAGTCACCCCATATATTATAAAGAAAAAATCAAACCACAGAAAAACTAGAAGACAATGAAAATGATTATCAACTATGTGGAAGGAGAAGGACTGCCTAAGTGGAGAGCAACAAATGAGAAAAATTAGTTAAATTATGTAAAAATTAAAAGCATCTAGCTAAAAAATTAAAAGGTAAATGATGCAGAAAATATGATATAAACATGATGAGAAGTTAATATTTTTGCTATATAAATAGCTCAACTTGATAAAGAAAACACAAAAACTCCAAAAAAAGTAATAATAAAAAGAAAATAATTTAATAATTCAGAAAAAAATGTTCAACATTAAAAAGAAATGTCAATTAAAATGAGAAGCCATTGCTTGTTCAATTACCAAAAAGATTTTTTAAAATAATAATCTGGCAAGGATGCTATAAAAATATACTCACATACTGTCAGTAAAGGCATAAACTTTTACCTTTTCAGAAAGCGGTATGATGACAAATTCTAAGAACATGTTCATGCCCTTTAATTTAATAATTTCATTTCTAGAAATGTATCTTAAAGAAATAATTCTAAATATTGAAACATGTCTAACATAAAGGAATTGTTAAATAAACTACAATCACTTGATGAAATATGGAACAATTTAAAAAATTAGAAAAGATGGCATCAAAAAAAGTATATATACGGGCTTCCCTGGTGGCGCAGTGGTTGACAGTCCGCCTGCCGATGCAGGGGACACGGGTTCGTGCCCCAGTCCGGGAGGATCCCACATGCCGCAGAGCGGCTGGGCCCGTGAGCCATGGCCGCTGAGCCTGCGTGTCCGGAGCCTGTGCTCCACGATGGGAGAGACCACAACAGTGAGAGGCCCGCATACCGCAAAAAAAAAAAAAAAAAAGTATATATGATATAATATTATAAAAGGCAGGATACAAATTAAAACTGTTTAATGTTTTTTAAAAAAGGGGGGAAAACAATAAATAAGAACACATTATATGGCAGAGAAATCTCTCTGACCCATTAGGTCAGTTTGTGAGCAAGGCATTAAGTACAGCCCCCTGTATCTTCTATCCCAGATTATAGGAATAGTCTACCAACAGACCTCTGTCTTACTGATGATACGCTGAAATATACCTTTCACACTGCTGTCAGAGTAATGTACAGAGTATAAAAATATTAATATGAATGTGTCACCTTCCTGATTCAAACTTTTTCCATCAAGCTGCTCAGGAAGTTACACAATGGCAACAGTGGGATAGAGTATCCAAATAGATCGAACTGTTTTATACCGCATGTATTTAAGTAACTTCCCTTACTTACAGCTTCTACACCTTGTTTGCCTGGCTAACTCCTTTTCAAGCATCAAGACTCAGCTTCAGACTCCCAGGTTGGGTTAAGAGCCTTCCCAATGTTCTCGTAACAAGCCTATCTATACTTCCATCTTGGCATTTACCATACAGCCTCAGAATTTTCTGTTTAGGGTCTGTCTCCTTCATTACTCTATTAACTGGCTGACATGAACTAAATATGACAAAATTCATGTACTCAAATAATCATAACATGAAAAATTAAAGAAAGGTAGAAAAATATACTAAAGGCAGAACTCAGAGACTTACTTGCATTTTGGAGTGACTCATTTATTAGCCTACATTTAAGGAGGGCTTACTATTTATTTCCCATGTAATGTGCTAACTACTAGCAATATAAGGGAGAATAAGATATTGATCCTGACCTCAGGAAGTATGTCATCTGGAAGGGAAAATTTCTGGCAAAGAACTCCAAAAAGTAAATGGAGGAGCAGGTAAGCTAAACAGAATGAATGGCACAAACATACTTTTCAAATATATTTCTTGTACTAACATATAGATTGCAGGTGAATTATATTACCCATCTTCGTATCTCCTCTAGTGATTCTTACATAATTATTTCTTTATTAAGAATGTTATATGATATATTCTATAGATGTCTGCAAAATATCACAAGTATATGTACTGATAAAATATACTGAAAAATATCAACAAATTACCTTTTAATGTCAGAAAAAAAATTCCAAAGTATATTTACTCACTGCTACTTAAATTAGAGACCTTTTAGTAATAAGACTATGTAGATATGAAAAGGATGAGGGAAACTGTGAGGAAAGAAGAACACAAATCATACATAATGATTATCTATGTAAAAATTCTCTATGCATACTGACAGTAGATGAAAGCAGTCATAGGTGGATGTAACTGTTATGGTTTTCAGTTAGGGGTTAAATATACAATTTTAAAATATCACAACTTCATTGAGCTCCTTGTTTCAAATATTTATTAAAATAGCAGATTCTCTGTTTATGTAATTTCTGTGTAACACAAGCCTTCTCAGTCAATTTCAAGTATATTTATTGTAAGCTGGGATAATAAAAACAATTTGTAATATATGGCAGTCAAATGTAAGATTAAGGCACCTGGACTTCTAAATGAAAAACTTTATGTTGCTTGCTATCTCTCATTTGCAGTTTTATCTTTAAAGAAAAAGGCAATGTTGAAATAATGATCTGTATATTTGCATCGATGCTGACATTACCTGGCATAGCATTCCCACTTATGTCAGCATTCATGACAGCAGTGAAAACAAAGAAAAATAAACATTAAAGGAGGATGCTTAAAAGAAGGGGAGATGTAAAGCAAAGACTTATTCTGTAATGTAAATAAACTTTCCTTGGAAAATAAATCTAAGAAAACTAAAGTTGGTTAAAATCTATGCTAAGTACTGTTTAATCAGATTAGTCAATCCTAATTAAGGGTTCTGATTTTTATAGCAACCTTTTATATTTTCTGAATATGCAGAGATATCTGAGAATTCAGTATCTCATTTCATTGAGATTCCTCAATTGTTTGATATCTTTAACATCCATTACAGCACAGAAGTAGTAACCTATAGTCTTTAGAACTACAGAGAAGTAAACACTTCTCAGGAAATAAAAAAGTTAACTAAGAATTTTTCTCGGTGTTAACTATACCTTGAATTAAGTACTTTAGAAATGACATATTGACAAATTTAAACTCTTTCCTTTTTCTTAGGAGCCTTTGATTTTTCAAGATGACAGTGGTCTAAAATCTACAAATTTTAACTTATCAATTGCTATAAATACTTGGTTAAAATACTAGAAAAAAGTTTAAATGTTAATATAGCTCCTCAAGTACATGGTTGGATGCTATGGATATTATAGCATGAACTATTAATTGTATGTGCATAAAGATTTGTTCTAACTTGATTTAAATAAAGCTAACTGAATTAAAATGAAATTAATAGCCAGCTTATATATTAAACTCATACTGAGACAAAATTTTTCTTACTTGTCTTTAATATGAATTAGACACTTTACTTGGTACAGAACTCTGTAACAGACAGTGATTCTCTGAAGAAATCAGTCTTTTTAAAAATTCTATCAACTACAGACTTAATGAAATTTTCTATTATTGGAGATTAAGGACTTACCATGATATCAGCAATGACAGTAGCAAACGTAAATATTTGTAATGATATTCTACTATGATTGGACTATGATGTCTCCAACTTAAAATTACCCAGGCCCATAATTTATCTTGAAACATTAATTTCCTCAGGTAGCTAATCAACCCAACATGCATCTCCCAAACCCACTTGCCCATCCTCCCAATCCAACCATACATACCTGTGCCTTTACCCACCACTTCACTATACCCCTTTTCTCAACATGCGCACAGAGCATTATCCAATGCTGTGAATAATGTTATAAAACTCTTTGGTGTTTTGTCAGAATATTCAAAATCAGAGAAGCTGTGAAAAACAGGTGCAACTTAACAGGGCTAACCCTAAGCTGACAAGTGAAATCCACTCTCACCTGTCACCCCTAAACTGCCCCCTAAGTCTTCATTATATTTTGTAATACTGTTTGAAATTCCACCATTTAGGGATTTACTGGTATTCTTTTAAAAATGTAAAGAGACTTAAGAAAGTTAAAGAGATTCTTTACTATTTGGACTTTGTGTAAATTAACTTAATAGGACTGCTTTTCTCCTATAACTAGCTGAGACCAATAGCACTACTGGAATTGGAAATGCAGATTGAAGGATCAGCGAAGTAAGCAATGGTTAAATATAAACACTTGGGAGGGAGTACATAGTGTCAAAACCTCACGATACCGTGACAGCACACTGCAGCAGGAAGAACATGGGCTCTGAACAGCCTGGGATTTGAATCTGATTCCACCACTTACCATGCGACCTTAGGCCAGTAACTTAAATCTCTTTGCATCTCAATTTGCTCTATTATTAAATAAGAGTATTTCCCCACAAGGTTGTCATATAAGAAAGAGTGGCCCAAATGCCTCACATGTAACAGATTCTCAAAAAATGCCAGTTTCCTTCTTTTCCATGTTCATTATTGAGGCAAGAAGAGAAAGGCACCAAGGAAAAGAAAGAAGCAGACTGAGTATCAAAAGGGTGCCAGAGAGAAACTCTTGAAAATTCCTCCCTGAAAAGCAGGGTCAATCAAAAGAATGTTAAGAAAACACTTTTCTCTGTTTTTTCCCATTTTTTCTTCATGACCATGTTGTCTTAGTCTCAGGACTCAAAACTCATATAGTACTACTAAATTTTTAATGCTATATTATGACCTTATATTGTATTAAAGATAAAATAGGTCTTAGAAGGTGGTCTGAGAACCAATCTTCCATTCAATTCAACAAATATTAATCGAATGTCTCTTATGGGTAAGATGTATCTTAGGTGATTGATAAGAGGTGGAGGACAATACAAAGATGAGTAAGAAAGATCCTTTCCTTCAAGGAGTTAGTAGTTTTAAGTTTTCTGATTTCAGAGAATCGTACAGCATTCATCTCTGGGAAACCCAATTAGTTCATAAATTAGGGACTTTCACATGTTCTTTATTATCATGGATAGCATGTTGGGGCATAAGAGAGAGATGCTATAAAAAAAACTTACGGGTTTTAAGATTCTACTTTTACTATTAGTCAAATTTTCATTAATTGTTGAATTTTTAATGCAAAAAAATTACCTGCCAAAATTTCGGTGTTTCGTGCAGCTATTGTTTTAACTTTTATTATTCCTGATTCAGCAGCCTGCAAGAATAAAAATAATTAGAACATAAAACTTACTATTAACATGAATTATCTAGGGAAAAGAAATCATATATGATAAAATATCAAGCACAGAGTCAGTCACTATTATTTTTTTATTTTCCAAACTTCAGATACTAAAGCCTAGTGGTGAAACACACATTAAATGGAATAAAATGTGATTCATTTGATTATTCACATGTAAACTCTGCACTACAGCATGTTGCCTTTCTATGCCTTAAAATGCACCTGGAGGGCTTCCCTGGTGGTGCAGTGGTTGGGAGTCTGCCTGCCGATGCAGGGGACACGGGTTCGTGCCCCGGTCCGGGAAGATCCCACATGCCATGGAGCGGCTGGGCCCATGAGCCATGGCCGCTGAGCCTGCGCGTCCGGAGCCTGTGCTCCGCAACGGGAGAGGCCACAACAGTGAGAGGCCTGCGTACCGCAAAAAAAAAAAAAATGCACCTGGAATCCCTAGTCTCTCACATTTAAATCTTCAGAAAATAAAAAATAATAAACAAAAACAAAGCCTAATGAAAAAAATTAGGTTTCTCTTTCCCATTTCACACTTCTCTCTCAACCATAAAAAAAATTTGCAAAACACTGCAAAATCAAGTAAAACTGCCTTGAGTTAGGAGAATGAATAACTAAGAACTCTGTCACTACTTTTAGATTGCGTTTTTTTAAACACCCATTCAGTTTTCATAAGGTATCTCAATCACTTCAACATAAGTATGTTGAGCTGGCAGTACTTGAAAGTCATATGGCATTTTACACTATGCCACAGAACTGTGGTGTTCAATATGGGAGTCATTTGGCTACATGTAGCTACTAAGCACTTTATATGTGGCTAGCCTGAATTGAGTTGTGTTCTAAGTATAAAAAATACATGAGATTTTGAAGACTTAGTATGAAAAAAAGAATGTAAACTATCCCTTAAATATTTACATTGATTAAATGTTGAAATGATAATATATACTGGATTATATATGTACTGGTTTGAATATACTGGGTTAAATATGATATATTATTAAAATTAAATGTTTCTTTTTACTTTTTTAATGCAATTTAAAATTACATATATGGATTGCATATTCAGCCTACATTATACTTCTACTGGACACTGTTGACATAAAATATTGATATATAACATCCATTACAGAAACTCAGGACATTTTTACTATCAAGAAATATGCCTATTTTATACTTATACTGATCTCCATACCTCCAAAAATAATAAATACTCATATATGTTCAAGTTTTCCTATTAATTTGCTTGCTACTTGTTCATTGATTTTTATCTCCTACTGTTTACTAAGGGACAAGTGGTAGCAGGCTCTAAAGGTTTAAAAATAATTATGGAAGAACCCAGTGTCCTTTGGGTTATTAGGTTGAGGACCAGTGGATTAATGCATAAAACAAATAACACACTGTAGGCTATACGATGTATAGTAGACCTTTGTCATTTTGCTGGCTTCCAAGAACCTGAAGCCCTTGTCTGTGATCGGAGAACTCAACTTTATGAGTTTTGATGCAAGACAGAGCCTATCTTCCACTACTCAAAATTTAAAATGCCAGATACTTGTTTTCCCACATACCCTGGCAGCCTCCGATTATCCAAACAGGCACACCCGCCAGGAATTATGAATACGGAGGCTAGTGGCACAGAAAAGCAGAGACAAGATGGAATTCTGTCTGACAACAGCCACAGTGGAGCCAGCATCTAGTTTCCAAGGGCAGTGACGGCAGCAGAACCAGTGGTGGCATGGGGTGGCCAGCACAACCAGCAGTGCAATCTAAGGCACCCAGTCACTGTTCAGCAGAGACAACAGTAATGGTCTCACTGGCAATGAGTTTTGCTGTGGTTCTTAGCTGTTCAGCCTCCCTTCGCTCCTGTAATTTCTAAGGCTCACTCCATCCAGCCTTCTACCAATTCTGTGAGACCCTCAATGTTTTATCAGTAAACTTAATTTCTGCTTAAATCAGCCCGGGTCAGCTTTCATTGCTCACAGCTAAGAAGCCTAACGGATATACTACAACTCACTTCTACAACTTTAAGAGATGGAAATGTCCCATATTAAATGAACATAGCTACTAGCAGGAAAATATAGTCAAAATAAATTACTCCAGGGAAAAATTATTGAGTTTCTGATTATCTGGGGGCAGTGCATATTAGAAACACCAGGAGCTTTAAAAAAAAAAAAAAGCTTGATGCCCAGGTTGCAACCCATTTCAATTAAATCAGAATGACTGCCAGTGGGAGTCAAGCACTGGTAGTTTTAAAAATCTTCAGGTGATTCCAATACGCAGCAAAATTTAAGAGGCTACTGTAATAACATAAGCAAAAGATGATGCTGGATAGGCCTGAGGTGACAGTGACTGAGATGGTAAAGGAGTGGTCAGATTCTGGAAACACTATGAAGATGTACAAACCACAACAAATTTACTACTATAAAAGTTCAGTAACACCGAAATTATTATGTATACTTTGTTATACTCATACACCATCTCAAACTCTCTTAGGTAATTTTCTTACTGAGCCAACTGAAATTAATCTGTGGTCACTGAGCTTTCTTCCATCATCATTTTCAAATGTTCAAACTCTCCCCCTCCTTACTAAGGCCCTATGTACCCTGCATATGCTCAATTCAGTATTTCATTCTATTTCAGGATCAACAGAGACTGATCAAACTAAACCATCATAAATCCCAATGTAATCTGTCCTAACTTCCTGAATTCTAGTCAGTTTCCAAAATCAGCAGTGTAGCATAGTGGATACTAGATGCAGGTAAAGGATTTCAAATTTGCCAGACACTATTTTGATTTCCTCAGATAAATAAGAATTGACCCATGTATGAATCATAAACAAGTTATGAAAAATATATATTTAACAAATATTTTTATATGTACACACAATAAGGAAAATAATGAGTGCTTTTTCCTTAAGTAGTTCCAAAGTAACAAGTGTTTTAAAAGATATATAACCAGTATTTTCATTCAAAGACTCAAGAAATCACCAAAAGGACTATTTGTTACCTCAGATATAATTAGAACTATCTCACAGCTCCTAATTTTTTACATCCAACTTTCTATTGTCAAACTTTGAAACTGAACGATCTTATTCTCATAGGTACCCTGTGTTACTGGAAAGTTCCACTATCAATGTTTATTGACAACAGTTGTATATCACAGTCCCCCTAGTCACTGCAGTGCTACTTCATACCTCAGCCTAGCCTACATCTTTAAGTGTCCTGTATAAATGCAAGTATTTAGCCCAGATTTCCTTCTATTTATCAGAGACTGTCTGTGTGAAGAAGAGTCTTTAACTTCTTGCTTTAAAAGCAACCCCTACTCTGATTAGATACTTATATATCCATAGGGGAACTACTCAATTTTTTAATATAAATTTTATTTGTTTTATTTTTGGCTGTGTTGGGTCTTCGTTCCTGTGCACAGGCTTTTCTCTGGTTGTGGCGAGCAGGGGTTAGTTACTCTTTGTTGCGGTGCACACGCTTCTCATTGCGGTGGCTTCTCTTGTTGCAGAGCATAGACTCTAGGCATGCAGGTTTCAGTAGTTGTGGCATGTGGGCTCAGTAGTTGTGGCTCGTGGGCTCTAGAGCACAAGCTCAGTAGTTGTGGTGCATGGGCTTAGTTGCTCCGCGGTATGTGGGATCTTCCCAGACCAGGGCTTGAACCCGTGTCCCCTGCATTGGCAGGCGGATTTTTAACCACTGCGCCACCAGAGAAGCCCCTCAATTGTAAATATAGTTATTTTTTTCCTGAATTGGCGCTTATGGAAAAAAAAAAAGTGTCAGTTCTGTAGACTTGAATAGGGATGATATAAGTTACAGTGGGAACTAAAATCTCTATTCCTGAGGGCAATCTATGAGTTGGGAAACAAAACCAAAAGTATTAAATATACTGCAGCATTTAATATTTGTTAACCTGAAAATTAATGTCTCTCAAGAAATATTTTTTTTCTCTTTCTCAAAATTCTTTGCTTACCCAAATAGACACACCCACCAGGAACTCTGAATATGGAAGCTAGCAGTATAGAAAAGCAGAGACAAGAGAGAATGCTGCCTCCTCTTTCAAGAGCACACAGAATATGCTTGGCCTCACTTCTCAATAAACTATTCCTGGGCAATCTCAATCCTATGGTTTCAATTACTTTCTAAAGGCTGAAGAATCCTAAATTATATTCCTGTCCCTTAACTGTCTCCTAAACTACAGGATTTATTAACCTATATATTTTAAAGGCACCTTAAATTCCAAATATTCAAAACGGATGCTATTATCTCTCACACACACCCCCAACTTCCACCTCAGCCCCAGAAAAACCTATTTCTTCTTCCTATAATCTTTATTTTTCCGAACAGCAGCAGCACCCATCCAGTCACTGACCAGACACCTGGGGCTTCTCCCTCATCCCACAAATATAATCAGCCACAAAGGCTATGTAGCGAACATCTCTTATACTCTTTTTTTCTTCTCAAATGCCACTTCTACACCTTAGTTCAAACTTCTCATTATCAACCTAAACTAAGAGATTTCTCTACTTCAAATCTTGTCCTCCACCCATTCACTGTCTCAAGTCTTCAACGGTCCCCCAGAACCCACCTCTACTAGTGTTTCTCAAAACTGAGTAGTGTAAGGACATCTTTTAAAAGTTAAAAAAAAAAAAATCTCATGGACCTATCCAGTCAGTGACAAATTTAAGTATTTATAAATAAAATTCGGAATCAACTCCTTATTTTTATAGCTCTTAAATTATAAAGCCAACACATTCACAATAAAGTGAACACTAAGGTAATGTGACAAATAAAGCTTTGCTGAAATTAAAACACTGCTAACAACATGAAGATAGTGCAGGTTTTTCTGATTTTGGCACTCCTGTAGTACCATGAGCAGTGACAGAAATAATTTTTTCCACCACCTTCTTTCTATGGCAAGTATCAAAAAGCCCTTCCATCTTTGTGGGCTGTCTATGGTTTGTACCTATG